AAAATTTGAGTAAATGCCAAAGTAGAAATCCAGGGAAATCCAAAAGAAAAGAAACCTCTAAGTGTGAGAATCAGTGAGTTTGAGTCTGTTTGGCTAGACAGACACAGGGTGTCGTGGCAGCCAGCTATGAATTGTTGGAGGCAGGGGAGCCCAGGTGTGGTACGGCTGGGATCCACCGATTTACATGGTTTTGATGGGCATTTCATTATTTAATGTAGCGATGTAGACGTGCAGCGATTTATGTTATACAGTGTCTGAAGATCGCAGCTTTGTCCTGTGAAGCCCTTACAATTTTAATGTAAAATATTGATCTCAAAACGTAGCCAGACCTTACGCCTGTGAGCCTCCATGCGAGCGGAGACGTGTGGGTGTGTATGTGGCTATTTGGAGGTGATTGTGATTGGTGTCTGGGCTTAATGACATGTTGAGATGGGCACGCTACATACGCCACTTTGTGTTAGCATGCACGACTTTAATGCATATGGATGGGCATAGTCTTTGTTACAAGAATATCAAACTGAAACGCTTAGAATTCACAGCTCTCAAGAATGCACAATGGAGTATTGGCATTTATTAGCATATTGGCGTCAATCTCCGGATTTTAACCCTTGTTCTGCCATTGATAATTAAAGTAACCCTCCGTATATATTCCAGTGTGGAATCTCTCCGTTTCCTTGCAGTGTGACGTACAAATCTAGGGTGAACTTGTAACACTCCTTCATTTGTGTGTGCGACATAACATAGCTGGCGAAATATTGGACCTGTCTTACTACAGGCAGCTCAAGTACTGTCATTTATCAATGTCCGATGCCAGTGTTGGCTTTAAAGGGACCATAATGGCCATCTTGTATTTATATGGGAAATTCAATCACAGGACATTACTGTCACCTAGAGGATCTTATACACAAATCCACATGCAGTTCTCAGCATTGGTTTCCTTGAAAAACAACCTTACCTGCTGTTGCATTTTTTTAAATCAATATTATCATTTAATATTTCATCACGATTAGAGAGCTTAGTGCATGGTAGGCAGCGTTTAGGAAGTTTTACTGTATTGTTTTTTTATTTGTTTATTAACCTGTGTTTTAATAGTTATAGTTATCACACTCTCCTGCATTCCCGGTTATATCAGTGTTTTCCTGATAGAAATTACAATAATTCCAAATGTGTCACCCATTGGGGTAGGCCACTTTTAGAATGCCACTGCTTTAGACTTTCACTGCTGTAAACATTTTGTACATTTACAATTTATTAAAACATGTAAAAGCCTCTGTTCCCAGCAGCAGCTAGTGACAGACATAGTAGTGTGTGGTTTGTCTGTGTGTGTTAATTCCCCACGCTTTATATCCTCTCTCTTCACCTTTCTAACATGTTTATTCATTCCGTATAAAACCTCAGTGATTTCAAGAATATACAGAACATGTGAAATATTATAATTATTCAACCAAGGCCTCGGTTCAATAACCCGTCTAAATGATTCACTTAGAAAAACTTTCAAACTGATTTCTAAACACATTTATTGGAGTTTAAAGACACATTACTGGGAGTATTATTGCTGTGGAGCTCTGTTATACACTCAGACACATTACTGGGAGTATTATTGCTGTGGAGCTCTGTTATACACTCAGACACATTACTGGGAGTATTATTGCTGTGGAGCTCTGTTATACACTCAGACACATTACTGGGAGTATTATTGCTGTGGAGCTCTGTTATACACTCAGACACATTACTGGGAGTATTATTGCTGTGGAGCTCTGTTATACACTCAGACACATTACTGGGAGTATTATTGCTGTGGAGCTCTGTTATACACTCAGACACATTACTGGGAGTATTATTGCTGTGGAGCTCTGTTATACACTCAGACACATTACTGGGAGTATTATTGCTGTCGAGCTCTGTTATACACTCAGACACATTACTGGGAGTATATTGCTGTGGAGCTCTGTTATACACTCAGACACATTACTGGGAGTATTATTGCTGTGGAGCTCTGTTATACACTCAGACACATTACTGGGAGTATTATTACTGTGAGCTCTGTTGTACACTCAGACAAATTACTGGGAGTATTATTGCGGTGGGGCTCTGTTATACACTCAGACACATTACTGGGAGTATTATTGCTGTGGAGCTCTGTTATACACTCAGACACATTACTGGGAGTATTATTGCGGTGGGGCTCTGTTATACACTCAGACACATTACTGGGAGTATTATTGCTGTGGAGCTCTGTTATACACTCAGACACATTACTGGGAGTATTATTGCTGTGGGCTCTGTTATACACTCAGACACATTACTGGGAGTATTATTGCTGTGGAGCTCTGTTATACACTCAGACACATTACTGGGAGTATTATTACTGTGGAGCTTTGTTATACACTCAGACACATTACTGGGAGTATTATTACTGTGGAGCTCTGTTATACACTCCATCACATTACTGGGAGTATTATTGCTGTGGAGCTCTGTTATACACTCCATCACATTACTGGGAGTATTATTGCTGTGGAGCTCTGTTATACACTCAGACACATTACTGGGAGTATTATTGCTGTGGGCTCTGTTATACACTCAGACACATTACTGGGAGTATTATTGCTGTGGAGCTCTGTTATACACTCAGACACATTACTGGGAGTATTATTGCTGTGGAGCTCTGTTATACACTCAGACACATTACTGGGAGTATTATTGCTGTGGAGCTCTGTTATACAGACACATTACTGGGAGTATTATTGCTGTGGAGCTCTGTTATACACTCAGACACATTACTGGGAGTATTATTGCTGTGGAGCTCTGTTATACACTCAGACATTACTGGGAGTATTATTGCTGTGGAGCTCTGTTATACAGTCAGACACATTACTGGGAGTATTATTGCTGTGGAGCTCTGTTATACACTCAGACACATTACTGGGAGTATTATTGCTGTGGAGCTCTGTTATACACTCAGACACATTACTGGGAGTATTATTGCTGTGGAGCTCTGTTATACACTCAGACACATTACTGGGAGTATTATTGCTGTGGGCTCTGTTATACACGCAGACACATTACTGGGAGTATTATTGCTGTGGGGATCTGTTAAACACTCAGACACATTACTGGGAGTATATTGCTGTGGAGCTCTGTTATACACTCAGACACATTACTGGGAGTATTATTGCTGTGGAGCTCTGTTATACACTCAGACACATTACCGGGAGTATTATTGCTGTGGAGCTCTGTTATACACTCAGACACATTACTGGGAGTATTATTGCTGTGGAGCTCTGTTGTACACTCAGACACATTACTGGGAGTATTATTGCTGTGGAGCTCTGTTATACACTCAGACACATTACTGGGAGTATTATTGCTGTGGAGCTCTGTTATGCACTCAGACACATTACTGGAGTATTATTGCCGTGGAGCTCTGTTATGCACTCAGACACATTACTGGGAGTATTATTGCTGTGGAGCTCTGTTATACACTCAGACACATTACTGGGAGTATTATTGCTGTGGAGCTCTGTTATACACTCAGACACATTACTGGGGGTATTATTGCTGTGGAGCTCTGTTATACACTCAGACACATTACTGGGAGTATTATTGCTGTGGAGCTCTGTTATACACTCAGACACATTACTGGGAGTATTATTGCTGTGGAGCTCTGTTATACACTCAGACACATTACTGGGAGTATTATTGCTATGGAGCTCTGTTATACACTCAGACACATTACTGGGAGTATTATTGCTGTGGAGCTCTGTTATACACTCAGACACATTACTGGGAGTATTATTACTGTGGAGCTCTGTTATACACTCAGACACATTACTGGGAGTATTATTGCTATGGAGTTCTGTTATACACTCAGACACATTACTGGGAGTATTATTGCTATGGAGCTCTGTTATACACTCAGACACATTACTGGGAGTGTTATTACTGTGGAGCTCTGTTACACAGACACATTACTGGGAGTATTATTACTGTGGAGCTCTGTTACACACACAGACATACAAAAAGAGGGACATTAGGAGAGAAAAGAGGGGCAGAGGGATTTTAGTAAATAGGGACTGCATCTCCTAAAAAGGGAAACTTGGGAGGTATTGTATTAATTCTTTATGGTATATCGATTTAATAAACTCAGGAGTTTATTTGCTAAATAGTAATTTTGCAATCAGCTTGTTAAACTGCATTCAAAATAGCCAAGGTGCAAAATCTCTCCAATTCATCTGTTTCCCAAGTGTTGGGGTGCAATTAGCAGTATACCGTAATTCCCTGTTTAATGAATAATCCCCTTTGGTGTATGGCGTATTATTACATGTCCTAGAATCAGTTCTAGGTTCTTGCTGTATCCACTATATTATTTTCCTTTTTTCAATTTTTGCTTTCTGTCATTGTCATTGTTACAGATACAATGATTTTAAACCGTTTATGCAAACAATCTGTGTTAATATTTAAAAAACATGTTTTTCTACATAAAATGTGTCACTATGTAAAATAGATCCTGTGCCTTGGGAAATCAAACTCAATGGGGTTTATATCTGAATTGTGATGATTTGACAACTAATAGTCAAAAACAGCAAAATCTTGGGTAAAGTGGAATAATCTTGCAGTCAGATAACAGAACTCAGTGTATAGTGAACACAGCCCTACCCTCGCCAGTATCACTGCATAGTGTGTGTTATGCCAAGGCCTGCGTTCCGGACTGCTGTTTATTGTATTAAGATGCAGGTGATACAATGTAATGCATCCTAGATACATCAAGCCGTTTATGGGGATTATTTACTAAACTGTGGCCACTTCAGGGATCAGAGGAATCGCAAACAGAGTCAAATAGATACGTTAATAGAGTAGATGAGCTGCATTTTTTTTTATATACCTATAACTAATACCTTGGAATTCTACCCAATTTCAAGTTATTATTTATAAAGCCCAATACTCTCCAATACTCTGCAGCACTGTACAATAGGCGGCTTAACAAACAACTAGTTACAGAAAAGACAAATGGACGTACAGGAACAGAAGGTGCTGAGAGTTCAGTAAATTAACCCAAACTCACAAAATCTGCCCATTTTTACTTTATCTGAGGAACGTTAATCTGCACTCAATATCCCAGAATGTCACTGGACCTCGTTTTTATCTGAGCCAAACAAATAACACGTGTAAAAGGGGATTATTCACTAAACTGAGAGCAGAGCGAGGAACTACCAGCTATAGAGGAAAATTATTATGGGTGATAATGTCATATTATAATATTATGTAGGTAATATGCAGTTCATTATTAACAATAGTCACCACAGCCACTATAGAGGACAAGCCTCAGACACTGAATTGGTTCAAAATGTTTTGATTCTGCATCAGGCTGTAGTGGTTATGGTGCTTAAGGGGACATTTCAGGCAACCAGACGACTTCATCTCATTGAAGGGGTCCGGGTGCAGTGTCACTGTCCCCTTCACTCTAACATGTAAAACATTTTGCACTGAGCCAAGGGATCATAGGCTTGCTGTATGAGAATTAATGTCATTTAATTGGGGCATTTAATAAGTATCTGTATAAAAGCAAGCGTACCATAGTACACTGCCTCGATATGTACTGCTAACCCCAGTTGCACATAATAGTTATTCTAGGATATTAAACAGGGACCCCCTAAAAATCCATTGTTCCCCCATCCTCCTCCTGCAGCATACTCCAGTCTGCAACCAGTTCTCAGCTTCCTTTCCACACCGTGGCCCATGCCAGTGTCCCCTTGAAAGACGATCCCTGTCTTTTGGAATTCTTTACGGAACTGACCCAGGCTTTCCATATTCACAGCAGAGGAGAATGGATCTCGGAGAAGAAAAGGCCTTTGAGCAGGAACACACTGAGCCTTTCTTGCTTCAGGCAATCTGCCCTGTTTCTTGGCTGCGTCCCCTGCGCTATCCAATATCACATGGCTCCGTATCTGGACTCACGTTAACCCGTGCCGGCCTGAGGAATAAGACATTCCTGAGTACAACTTGGATCATCAGCTTACGTGCCTGGCAAACGGGCACCTCCAATTCATTCCCGGTTTATTCTGAATATTCCACGAAGTGTACTCTGTTAGTAGAAAAAACAGAACACTATGGGAGTAGTACTGTGACAGCGGGTGCCCACCCCTCCCTTACCCTCTTCGCCATCCCTTCACATCATAGCTGATAACAGAAAGATGTGTTTCGTTGTTTCTTCACTAAACACTCAGTTGTAGTTTAATTTATTATTGGGGGAAAATATTTGTAAAAAATAAAAATGCACCAACTCAGTCAGGTTTGGAGATTATTTTTTTCAGCCGAGTGTTTTAACAGATTTTGCTAACTCACCATAACCACTGTCTAGTGAATATACTCTCAAATATCAAGTTAGAAGAGGTGGGGGCACTCTACAATCTGTGAAGGCCATGTTTAGTGTACAGACCCCTTTATAAGATACAGCCTATAATGCTGTGGGTTGGAAAAGTTACTCTACTGGACACTGTGCAGAGAGTTGATTTCACTTGGTGCACAACCTCCATCACTGTTTGATTGACACGCAGCTTCCATCGCTGCTTGATTGACACGCAGCCTCCATCGCTGCTTGATTGACACGCAGCCTCCATCACTGCTTGATTGACACACAGCCTCCATCGCTGCTTGATTGACATGCAGCCTCCATCACTACTTGATTGACACACAGCCTCCATCACTGTTTGAATGACATACAGCCTTCATCACTGCTTTATCTGCACATAGCCTCCATCACTGCTTGATCTGCACGCAGCCTCCATCACTGCTTGCTCTGCACGCAGCCTCCATCACTGCTTGCTCTGCACATAGCCTCCATCACTGCTTGCTCTGCACATAGCCTCCATTACTGCTTGCTATGCACACAGCCTCCATCACTGTTTGCTCTGCACATAGCCTCCATCACTGCTTGCTCGGCACAGAGCCTCTATCAGTGTTTGATTGACATGCAGCCTCCATCACTACTTGATTGACACACAGTCTCCATCACTGTTTGAATGACATACAGCCTTCATCACTGCTTGCTCTGCACATAGCCTCCATCACTGCTTGCTCTGCACGCAGCCTCTATCACTGCATGCTCTGCACACAGCCTCCATCACTTCTTGCTCTGCACGCAGCCTCCATCACTGCTTGCTCTGCACATAGCCTCCATCACTTCTTGCTCTGCACGCAGCCTCCATCACTTCTTGCTCTGCACGCAGCCTCCATCACTTCTTGCTCTGCACGCAGCCTCCATCACTGCTTGCTCTGCACATATCCTCCATCACTGCTTGCTCGGCACAGAGCCTCTATCAGTGTTTGATTGACATGCAGCCACCATCACTACTTGATTGACACACAGTCTCCATCACTGTTTGAATGACATACAGCCTTCATCACTGCTTACTGTGCACATAGCCTCCATCACTGCTTGCTCTGCAGATAGCCTCCATCACTGCTTGCTCTGCATATAGCCTCCATCACTGTTTGAATGACATACAGCCTTCATCACTGCTTGCTCTGCACATAGCCTCCATCACTGCTTGCTCTGCACATAGCCTCCATCACTGCTTGCTATGCACACAGCCTCCATCACTGTTTGCTCTGCACATAGCCTCCATCACTGCTTGCTCGGCACAGAGCCTCTATCAGTGTTTGATTGACATGCAGCCTCCATCACTACTTTATTGACACACAGTCTCCATCACTGTTTGAATGACATACAGCCTTCATCACTGCTTGCTCTGCACATAGCCTCCATCACTTCTTGCTCTGCACGCAGCCTCCATCACTGCTTGCTCTGCACATAGCCTCCATCACTTCTTGCTCTGCACGCAGCCTCCATCACTGTTTGCTCTACACACAGCCTCCATCACTCTTTGATCGACATACAGATTCCATCTCTGATTGGCATACAGCTTCTATCACTCTTTGATTGACATACAGATTCCATCACTGTTTGCTCTACACAAAGCCTCCATCACTCTTTGATTGACATACAGCCTCCATCACTCTTTGATTGGCATACAGCCACTATCACTCTTTGATTGACATACAGCCTCCATCACTGTTTGCTCTACACACAGCCTCCATCACTCTTTGATTGACATACAGCCTCTATCACTCTTTGATTGACATACAGCCTCCATCACTCTTTGATTGAAATACAACCTCCATCACTCTTTGATTGACATACAGCCTCCATCACTGTTTGCTCTACACACAGCCTCCATCACTCTTTGATTGACATACAGCCTCCATCACTCTTTGATTGACATACACTCTTTGATTGACATACAGCCTCCATCACTCTTTGATTGACATACAACCTCCATCACTCTTTAATTTACATACAGCCTCCATCACTCTTTGATTTACATACAACCTCCATCACTCTTTGATTGCCATACAACCTCCATGACTCTTTGATTGACATACAGCCTCTATCACTCTTTGATTGACATACAGCCTCTATCACTCTTTGAATGACATACAGCCTCTATCACTCTTTGATTGACATACAGCCTCCATCACTGTTTGATTGACATGCAGCCTCCATCACTCTCTGATTGACATACAGCCTCCATCACTCTTTGATTGACATACAGCCTCTGCATGTCAATCACTACTTGCTCTGAGTAAATTTTAAATTTAAGACCAGACTAGTCAAACTGGAAGTATAACTGGCAGAGAATTTTTCAAGTTCTGTTATTTTGACCTTAAATTTGAGACTTACTTTGAATTCTCCCTGACATACAGCCTTCATCACTGCTTGCTCTGCACATAGCCTCCATCACTTCTTGCTCTGCACGCAGCCTCCATCACTGCTTGCTCTGCACATAGCCTCCATCACTTCTTGCTCTGCACGCAGCCTCCATCACTGTTTGCTCTACACACAGCCTCCATCACTCTTTGATCGACATACAGATTCCATCTCTGATTGGCATACAGCTTCTATCACTCTTTGATTGACATACAGATTCCATCACTGTTTGCTCTACACAAAGCCTCCATCACTCTTTGATTGACATACAGCCTCCATCACTCTTTGATTGGCATACAGCCACTATCACTCTTTGATTGACATACAGCCTCCATCACTGTTTGCTCTACACACAGCCTCCATCACTCTTTGATTGGCATACAGCCACTATCACTCTTTGATTGACATACAGCCTCCATCACTGTTTGCTCTACACACAGCCTCCATCACTCTTTGATTTACATACAGCCTCTATCACTCTTTGATTGACATACAGCCTCCATCACTCTTTGATTGACATACAGCCTCTATCACTCTTTGATTGACATACAGCCTCCATCACTCTTTGATTGAAATACAACCTCCATCACTCTTTGATTGACATACAGCCTCCATCACTGTTTGCTCTACACACAGCCTCCATCACTCTTTGATTGACATACAACCTCCATGACTCTTTGATTGACATACAGCCTCTATCACTCTTTGATTGACATACAGCCTCCATCACTCTCTGATTGACACACAGCCTCCATCACTCTTTGATTGCCATACAACCTCCATGACTCTTTGATTGACATACAGCCTCTATCACTGTTTGATTGACATGCAGCCTCCATCACTCTCTGATTGACACACAGCCTCCATCACTCTTTGATTGACATACAGCCTCCATCACTCTTTGATTGACATACACTCTTTGATTGACATACAGCCTCCATCACTCTTTGATTGACATACAACCTCCATCACTCTTTGATTGCCATACAACCTCCATGACTCTTTGATTGACATACAGCCTCTATCACTCTTTGATTGACATACAGCCTCTATCACTCTTTGATTGACATACAGCCTCCATCACTGTTTGATTGACATGCAGCCTCCATCACTCTCTGATTGACATACAGCCTCCATCACTCTTTGATTGACATACAGCCTCTGCATGTCAATCACTACTTGCTCTGAGTAAATTTTAAATTTAAGACCAGACTAGTCAAACTGGAAGTATAACTGGCAGAGAATTTTTCAAGTTCTGTTATTTTGACCTTAAATTTGAGACTTACTTTGAATTCTCCCTTTAGTGACTAAATCTGTTATTGTCCATCGCTGTTCCTCATCGTGTTTAATAAGATATTGATATAAATACCTATTTTGATCTGTTCAGACAGGTATTTATTCACTAAAGCAGGACGTGCAGAGATTTGAAAAGAACATTTCATGATTT